GCATTGTTGGAAGTTTGGATTTGGGTTGCCCCCAACATGACAGGCAGTCCAAGCCCTTTGCACGGGATACACATGATACCTCACTTTCAGCGTAGTTGCGCCGGCATTGGCGGCCTTCATGGTCCTACCTCGGACATAGTTGCCATCAGTGTTGTTCCCATCAATATCTGTTCCTTCAGGCACATCAAAAGTCAAGCCTCTGTTCAACGTCAGAGTAGCATAGGACTGGGAAAAAGCACCAAGCGTGTAGCACCGGTACCAGGTAAGTACTAATGGAACGAAACATCAAAACGACAGCGAAACGGTTCTTTCAGTCAAAAAACAGTACCTGGTACAAAATTGGTTGAGTACGAGAGCACCGTAGAACCTACACGGCTACGGAAACATACAATTTGTGAGTACGAGAGCCACCGTAGAACTAAAGCGGCACGGGAAAACCAGTACAAAATTGGTTGAGTACGAGAGCACCGTAGAACCTACAGCGGCTACGGGAAAACCAGTACAAAATTGGTTGAGTACGAGAGCACCGTAGAACCTACAGCGGCTACGGGAAAACCAGTACAAAATTGGTTGAGTACGAGAGCACCGTAGAACCTACAGCGGCTACGGGAAAACCAGTACAAAGTTGAGTACGAGAGCGACCGTAGAACCTACAGCGGCTACGGGAAAAGCAGTACAAAATTGGTTGAGTACGAGAGCGACCGTAGAACCTACAGCGACGTGGCCTTCAACCAGGAGTTCTTAGTTCGTACCGTACATTCGAGAGGAGAATTCGCAAATGCTTCAAGGTTCATAGTTCATAGAACCGAACTGAACCGGTACCCGTACTGTAGATACTGTAGCTCTGTAGATACCTGTAGAGGGACTTAGAAACCATAAATGGTTTCAAGGATGCCGCTTCAACTTTCATGATGACGCTGTGTTCTCTACTTGAGCTTGGATGCAGTGAGTACTACCGGTATATGCTCCAACTGGCACGATCGAGATTGATGGCATGGGTCTCCGGTACATGAAGACTTGCTTTGGAAGCTGGAAGCCACTCTCGTACATGTAGATCTATGTAGCCCGTAGCATAGCTAGCTAGCAGCAGTAACTGTTCTAGTCTAGCTGCTCGAGTATGTACTCAGTACCGGTACCAGTACGTACCCGGCAGTAGAAAGGAGTGGGGGAACCAGGAATAGCGGTCTCGAGTATGTATGTATGTGTACCGCTACCGGTACCAAACTCTGCTAGATAAGCCAGATATCTACATGTAGCTCTAGTAGTAGATGAGTGCATGCGTCATTTATTTGTACTACCGGTAGCTACCTGGTAGTACCAGGTACTAAAAGTACTCGAGTGCAACAGTGTACGGTAGTCTACGAACAGAGCTATGTCAGAATGATGTAATGGCAAGAGCGAAAAGCGACCTGCCTGGAACTGCATGGATGAAGTCCATGAGTGCATGGAACAGTGAACCGAATCTCAGACTACTGTCGAATAATCGAATTATTTGTCTTGAAGTTGCCCTTTCGCAGAATCGTTCAATTTCACCGAGAAACCCTCCAGAGCAAACCCCGCCCTTCTCACGAAAACCAGAATACTCTCATGCTCTCATGACTGTTAAGTCAAGACATGCATCAGAACTTTCATCCTAAAACTCTCAGTGAACTCAGCTCTCACTCTAGAGATCTGAATGAGCCTGCCATTGAGGTCTTCTACCACCCCACTTACTTGGAAAGGCATGGTACTTAACTATCCTTATTAAAACCACACACCACAGTTCAGCTCACCCTCGTCGTTAGAGAATTCTGAACTTCTTCAAGCGTTTACCGCTTAACTATCCATTTCTCAGTGGAACACACCCTACTACACCACACAGTCTTCGGTGGCTACAGACTCTACAGAGGTGGTTGGTGGGGGAGTTTGAATTCTTCAAGTCTTATTAGTGCTTACCGGTAAACAGAAGCCCGGTCTCGTCCCTGGCTGGGCTGGTGGTGAAGCCTAGCTAGCCAGAATCTTGGTGGCGAGGTGTGGTCCGGTCGTCCGATCACAGCTGTGTGAGGCCTCAGTCGATACAATTTCCCACATTCAACTTTTGCATCGCGCTTTCTACGAACAGACGCCCCCAAAACCCGTGACTCGAGTGCTATAATATTGTTGATTTGCAAATCACCTTCACACCTCCGCACTCCGCACACAACTTGGCCTTTTTCTAAATAGAAACACTAAAACTACTTCATTTTCACATACTGCACCATGGGGAGCAATACAATCTTTATGCAGCAACAGGAGAACCAGTTCCGCTGTGGTAAGTGGACAGACGAAGAAGAGGCGTATGCTGTCGCTTTGATGGAGGCTTTCAAGGATGGCTTGCTAGAGGATATTGAGCAGGGGGCAAGCTTGAGGTTATATCTCTCTACGAAACTTCACTGCAATGTCAAAAGGGTGTCCAAAAAGTATGAAGGCACGAACTATCAAGGAGCGCGAAGGTTCCAGAAGAATGCCTCTGCGTCCCCGGAAGAGCTTGCGTTCACGAGGAGCAAGCTCGTAAAGCTCCACGAAGACTTTGAGGCCTCCATCAAGGTACTGGCCATGGTGAGAGCTTCTAAGACTGCTGCTGCCTCGCACGGAACCTCCGCGGAAATCGGAACGGCACAGGCAAGCACGCAATTCCTCAGCAGCGGTGTGACCCAGCCCTCTGCGATGCTCGGCGCATTCCCGAATACCAGTACGCAGGCAACGTTGGCTTCGTTGGAGGACGCGCTTGGGTTTCGTAACAGCATCTTGTCAACACAGCACGACCCTCTGCGGGTGCAAAGTTTGCTCGGACGGGCCTCCGTTCGGTCACAGCTCTTTCTGTCACATCTGCAGAACTCGACACCTCATCATCAGACTTTACTACTCGAGCAGCAGCTCCCTCCAAGAAGATACCTGGATCCAGTAGTAGCGGACAGGACATCTATTCTGGGTTCTGACAGTATGACGCCCGCAAGCACGAGCATGTTTATGGGCGGTGACCTCCTTGGGGCCGGTCTCGGATCTAGGAACCTGCGTCATGAGAGGTCGACCATGGAAGCCGATCCCGTGGCAGCTGCGGCAGCAGCCAGGAGGACCTACGCCAGTCTCTGGGCTCCATCCGCAGACTCCCCTGCAGCAACTTCAACCTCCGCACTTGGCGTGATGCCAACGAGTCAGGAGCTCGCGCTGCTGATGCAAGAAGAAGAACGCGTGGCGGCGGTGTTGTCGGCTGGTTCCCAAACTGCGGCGGGAGCCAGGAGGACCCCCGCCAGTCGCTGGGCTCCATCCGCAGAGTCACACGCAGCAGCTTCAACCTCCGCGATGCCAACGAGCCAGGAACTTGCACTGCTGAGGCAAGAAGAAGAACGCGTGGCGGTGTTGTCGGCAATAGATAGTCCGAGTCCCCAAACTTCACTCTCGATGATCATGGTCCGAACACGGCAGACACCATCTGAAACGAAACGAAGGTGGACCGCGCAACAACAAGCCAATGAAGAACTACAGCGGGCCCAAGCGCTAAACGAATCACTGAAGAAAGAGTTGGAACGTGAAGAGCACTTGTATCTAGAACACCAACGGAAGAGAGCCAAACTCTCTGGAGCTCGACCGGGGAACTCGTACGCAGACTCCGCTACAAGGGGTTTCTGTTGATCATGACTGAACTCATCTGAGATGCTTCGTCGGACTTCTGTATGTTTTCTAACTTCCAGCCAGGCATGTGTAATAGAATTAGTAATGGTCTAGGAAGAATATGTTATCACAGATGTGAATTTGCCCCTCTAAACCCTGGTAGGAACCAATCTTGGACCAACGGTCAGCCCATCCTCATATGGCGGCTTCAAACTTCCCAGGGAACAGCTTCAGGCCTTTTGGCAAAATACAACTGAGGACCACCCTCTTTGTTCGGCATGTCCTGCTTTGATCTGGGACCAACAGTTGACTTGAGGCGCATCTCAGAGTAGGACCGAACCATAAGAATGTCATCTCATTATTTTAGAAGCATGAGCTTCCTATCAGATCCAAAGAGGTTGATCGTCTCCTTGTATTGGGAACTAGCTAGCTAGTGCCACCTTGAATTCTGGGCTTGGAATAGACGGCAAGGTTGATTTTTACCCATAAAAGTTGGTCCAGGGGCCTGGGAATAGAGCTCGTGTCGAGTTGCGGGGCTGTAGGTTGAAGAAAAAGGTCTTCATCAACGTCATGATCTTGGCTGCAGCGAGCACTCCTGGTTGCATCTACTACTGTCACTGGGGGCAGTGCTAATAGTGCAGAAAGGCGCCTTCGCAAGCGGCGAATGCATGTATGACCGGGGGCAACACACACGGGGCCAGAAAGATCAGCACCTCCCAGCGCCCGATGTGACTCGACTCCAAACTCAGTGGTGGTGAAACTTCCTCTCGCAATTCAACAGCGGTATCGATGTATTTGTCACTCTACATTACTTCAAATTGAGGCTTTTCATGCCAGCGGCGATGGAACTGATCTCGCCATGCACATAGCGGTACGGTAGGAACTGCTGCAGCCGAATCATGTTCCCCCCTTCTTTTCTCTCGGCGATACAGCGATACATTTTGGCCCCATCACGCATGGCATGGTCGTTAGACTAAAAACTATCTACTTTCCTTTCATTCTTTCTCCTGCCGCTTGTGCTTGTGCTTCATGGTTTCGTGCAACGGTTTGACTGCTCACGTTGTCACTCACCCCGCCCACAACTGAGCGTACGGAGCTGCATGCTTCTGGGAGTTTCATGGAACACGGAATTCGCGTAAGAAAAATCCTACCGGTACTTCTTGTCTTGTGGTACTGAGTACTCTCAACTCCCTAACCCAGCTTCCTTTTGTTGGATTGACATCAGGGACTAGATGACTAGACTCCAACAAGTGTCTTTCCGTTTCCCCCTTGGTACTCATAGCAGAACCTTGGATCATTTTGTAGGATAGCTCTATCAAACACCTCATGCAGACACAGAAACATTTGGCTGAACTGAGAACCTCGAACATTGTACGACCATTTGGCAGTTGGCGCTCCAAGTGTTGGATCTGTAGCATGATGATGAGGGAAATGCTGGTTAACATGAAGCTTCAATCCTTTCCGCTTCTCCCAAGTCAAGTATTGGCAATCTTTCACAGACTTTCACCCAACAGTGCCGACGGATTAAACTAATAAGATAAACCTCGCCATTCTCATCAACCATGGGAAACCCAGCTGTCGGGGTCATGCACTGAAAGCTCTAACGGATTCTTCTTCGATGGTGGCTTCTTCGTGTTGGTTGCGACTGGACTCATTGACAGTCACTCACTGAGACTCCCTTACTCGCTTTTGTTCGAGCCAGGTTTCGCTGAGCCGGAAGCCCACATCACACTTTTAGCAGCAGGTGTCCATGTCGAGGTTTCTCGTTGTCTCATGGATAAAGCAAGGCTTGGTTTGGGTAGGTCCCTTTGTTGGAGATATAAATATTTGTTTTGCTTGTTGCCTCGATCATCGTCGCTGTTGCCTTGGACGGTAAACGGTAAACACAGGCAGCGGTAAAGATCGCTCCAGGGGCTTACACGTGGAAGAATATCGTTCCGCTGGTGAATGCCTCATAAATCTTTGTTTCCGAACCGTCACTTTCCCTTCGCATTATTTTTCGCTGGTAGAGATGAACGGATGCTGAGCGGGCTCTGTTGAACGTTCAGAACAACCCCTCTCTCCACGCCCTGGTCCAAGGCTCGTGGACTGAGTATCTTCCCACCGGTTGCATCCTGTAGTAGTGTTTTTATGGGGCGACACATCAAGAAGCTAAAACCTATTTCTATTGCGCCACGAACACTGGATACCCCGGACAGCTATTGAATTCAAACTATTGGTACTAATCTGGAAAGGAACTTGCTTGCAGGCTTGCAACTTGTGGGCTGGTCGGAAGCTATTCAGAAGGAACGCCGCATTCTTCTGAGCACTGTGTAAGGTAGCCATTTCATGGGTGATGTTAGCGTTCTTGGGTCTTCACAGCAAACCTCTTGGCACATAAAACTGAGGACCACCTTCTTTGTTCAGCATGTTTTGCTTTGATCTGGAACCAACAGTTGACTCAAGGTTTCTCTCATACATCTCAGAGTACGATCCAACCATAAGAATGGCATCTCTAAGGATACGTTTCATGTCCGATCCAAAGAGATTTACTTCAGGCATCAAGCTTGAGTTGGAGCTAAAGATGGACTTCTGTTCTGCATAGAATGTGGCTTCAACAATCCAATAAACCAAAGCTGCCCACTCTGGATCATCCTGCATAGTTGCCAAAGCAACATTTTCTCCGTCGTCCTGGTAGAAATAGGGCTGTGAGAAGCTGAAGCCAAGGCCAGTAGTGGGTTCCTGGAAGTCATTTTCTAGGGTCCAGGCAGCTCCTGTGATGACATCAACTTGGCCTTGGGCCAACAGCTTAAATCCTTGTGAGAAGCTGTCAAGAGCCATAAAATTGATGGATTCTGCAGCACCCTCAAAAAGGCTAGCTGAAATGGCCTTGCAATAATCAATGTCCATGCCAGTGAATGGGCTGTTTGTGTTGTTGCTCTTGTAGCTGTCTTGCATAGCAAACCCTGGTCTATCCAACTGGACACCACACCTCAAATATCCACGATTCAAAATCGCAGTAAGAGCTGGTCCCAAAGACCTGCTAACCTGCTGATTTTCCACTAGTTTGAATGGGAGAGGATACAGCAGTCCACTGGATCCATCATTAATGTCATTCATGGACCCTCTTGAAATGTAGCCCTTCAAGTGCCTGCTGTAAATCTCCCCAAAGTTGCCTCCTGCTGCAATAGCATTTCGAAGGATGTCTTTGTGCTCATCTCCGAACCAACTGACTTGGGGCATCAACTCATGAGCTCTTTGTTGGGTAATGTTGCTGGCTTCTGCAGTCTGCAGGGCCAGCACCACAGCATTCACCAGGTCAGAGAAGACAGGATCACCTCTGGCAGTCACTATGGAGTAGGGTATGTATGCCAGTACTGCTTCTGCAACCTTGTAGGAACCAAGATACCCTGCTTGTCTGACAGGTGGTTCTGCAACCACAAATGAGTCAAAGATGATGACATTGCAAGTACCTTTCAGCAATCCATGGTACAAATCAGTGACAACATCGCCCGAGGTAGTATTGTCATTGGGCAAGACTAAGGCTCGTCCAGGCAACACCTCGCTCACCAGAGAATAACCAAAACTGCCTTCTTTGCCGGGGACACACACTTTGAGACCGGCACAGTCCCCAAGATGCCGAAAACCTTGGTCTACACAGTTTTCTATAAAAAATGTGTCACCGCCTAATTGAACTTGATTGTACATGTAGGGAACCGTAAACTCAAAGCCCAACTGAGTGTCAACTTCATAGATTTCTCGACTCATGGTGTGAGCAGTGACAAAAGTGTAAATATCAAACTCGTCATTGGTAAGCTGATGGAAACGACTAGCAGTATTGGATTCCACATACTCAATACGATAGTCTGGTCCAAGAATGGCTGCTGCCACGGCTTCGCACTGTCGTGGCAGATAGATAGGAGCAAGAGACAAATAAATGAGACGATCAATGGGCCCAACCTTAATCACTGATGGGATTGCAGGATGGATACATACCAGGGCTGTATCAAATCCCGTCATTTCTCCCGTGTTTGGGTCTGCAATCAAAGAAGCGCTTTGGGTTTCAGGAATCGAATAGAATCAATCTAACAGTATCATAGTGGGAGAGATAGCTGACGACATACCAGTGAAGAAGTGTCCCCACGTATTGGGCCTATAGGCGCATCGCAGAGCTCCGCGCTCTTTGATGCGCTCCAGCCTTGACATTTTGTTGGATACACTGAAAGAGGAGCTCGTGTGGTTGGTGGTATCAGTCAGAGAATCAATGAGCTTCCATAATATGATGGGAACAGCTGCCACCAAAATGACACAGAGGAGAAAGAGGAGAATCTTGTCAGGGCGTCTATTTGGTAGCACTTCTACCTTGACTTCGGGACTGGGAGGAATAGACGATCGCACTATTGGTGGTTTTGTTTTCGGTTTTGGATGATGAGTGGTGGAAGTGTCGGTCACCAAGGTTGCTGGGAGGGGTGTCACAGCAGCAGTATCATTACTAATACCGGTAGACTCATTGGTCCGATGGGAGGCAGTGGAGAAGTACAGTGATTCTTCATCGTCATCATGATCCGTTGTCACGGACCCAGAGCTACTAGTGGTGCTCCACAGGGGACGGCGCACAGCCTGTTGGCCAGGAGCCACACTGAAAGCTCCTGGAGCTGTTGGTTCTCCCCGGATGGTCCTCTGGTGGGATGACAAAGCTGGTGGTGGTGGAGCTTGATGACCTCCGGCAGCCTGTCCTGTGCCTTCTTGGGTTTCCCCATCATGGTTGGCTTCTGCTCCAGCTGCAGAGGAAAGATCATACCGAAACATCCGAGCCCGTTGATCCACAATCTTCATCAGGAATGTAGGACCATCAGTGTCGGTGCTAAGGTCAGCTTGCTTCGGTGTCGTCTTCTTGTGGTTATCCATGATAAACGTCTGTGGGAGGCTCTCTTCGGTTTAGTGGGGTATTATGCTGTGATTGTGAACAGATACCACTGGCTTAGGTTGGTTGTTGGTCGCCTTTAGAATGACTTTGTTGTGTCTTTCTTGCTTCCTACTACGGTACTAGACTATAATGAGAAGCGGAAATGCGAAGCGCTGGAGCGACAGCTGATTTCAATCAGGATCCGGTCACACATAGAAAGACAGTGGAAGGGGATGGCGGGTTCAACCATTGACGTTAAATCTTCTTCAGAAACGTCATCTGGTCGTTCGGACACTTTCCCTTTTTACAACCCTCTTTCCAGAAAGTGTCCAAATGATGGTCACAATTACTGTCACATTGACGGGAATGCCTTTGTTCCTGAATATGACGTCAAGTGTGTGGGCAGACAATTGACAATCACACTTTGGGGGGTCTAGCTAGGCAGGGGAGTTAAAATCGCATTCCTCTAGATTAGCTAGAGGAATGCAGGATATCTGAAGCCTTCAATTTGTACGGTGCGGTGCAGTGCGGTATGGTATGGTACGGTGCCTAGGTGATACAAAAATTGTCTGCAAACGTCCCACAAGAATGTCCACTGATAATGAAGAAGTAATACTTTAGAATACTGAAAGTGTTCCGGAGCAGTGTTCAGGAGAAGTGTTCCCAAATTTGCAGAGGAATGCTTGCCTTTTGATAAAGAGGACGCTGCAGCCTGGTATCTTCGAAGTTCTTGCTGGACGGCTTAGTTAGATTTAAAATCTGGCTAGCTGGAGGAAAGGATGGACACGGTAGTTCGCATCACAGAACATAAAAGGCTTGGTACAGAAAGTACAGCGGGACCGCTGTACCGCCATCGGCCCAACCGTACACTACCGCTGTAGAGCCCCTGTAGAGCCATTAGCCAATCAGAATCGTTCGGCCGACTGACGTCAGTCGGGTTCAGTCGTGCTTCGCATCTCTGTGTCAGCTCGATCAGTCTCTCGTCTTGTTGTTTTCGTGTTGTTTTCGAAAGACCGACAGAGCATGCATCCAGAGGATTGAGCCAGATAGTGAAGCAAGACAATAAAACCGAGGTCATCCCATCCATAATAGTAGCCGTAGAGGTAGAGGTACTCACCGCAGCCGAGGATATAGCCGCTTTCATCGCAATCCGAGGAAGCTGTATTCATCGCAATCCAAGGACGACGATGAGTGCGAGCAAGAAAGAGGCTCCGGCTTGTATCGACCACTATATCCGGAGCATGTACTCGTCTGGAGGACGCTTCCCCAAGGTGGACGACAATGGCATGGTGTTCTTGGCGGCTGCTGGCAAGACAGGGCGTGCCTCTGCGAAAACCAGGACTCCTCTTGTTGCCGGAAAATTGGATCGGCATCTGCAGCAATATTTCCCACAGGGAGCAGTCCACGGAGTCTCATCTCCTGTTATGAGAGCTCTTGCAAGGAAGGACGAAGCTGCAGTCCCAAATTACGAATTTCTTTGGGAACGGCATTGACAAACGATGGAAGGTAGAGCAACAGTCTCTAGCAGCCATGGAATTTGAGCTCCACAACACCACAATCTGCCAGCCCAACCACCATGCACGGCCCTCAGAACAATTGGAGCAGGAACCAGAGCCCCATGTCCCTCTGTCAGGTCAGTGTTGTCAACCAATGGTTGGATTCTTCAAAAAAACTGACTGCCAAGCAAAAAGAAGTCTTTGATAACTCAGTCGAGCACGCAATCGAGCACTATGGTAGCGCCGCCAACACGGACAATGTTGCCGTGCTCGCTGCTGAATCATTTGATCGAATGCACTTCAACATGATTGGCAGGGCAACGCTGGTCTCAGGGGTAGGCTGAGGCTCCAGCATGCCAAAGCTTTGCTCAGAGACAAGAGTCAGCTTGTTCAGATGGCCAGGATCAACGAACATGCCGCTGGCAAGAGAAAGGCTGCTCCAAAGCAAGGTGGTCTGACCAAAGCCAAGCTGTTGGACCCACGCACAAGCTTCGCAGACATGAAGGGTTGGGCCAGGGTCCTGGGAAAGTCCATCCCAAAGACAAAGTCGAAGATGCAGGAGGCTCTGCTGCAGTGCTTTGAGGGCAAGCCAGAAGACCATGTGTTCCACTCCCACTAGCTAGCTAGCTTGGTGGTTGGGCCCCAAAGGGCCCAATCTTTATGGTTCAGAGCCCCCTGCGGGGGCTCAACCTTTATAGTACTAGCTTAAAAAATTTTCTACACAGGAAAGGATGGATGATAGAACGAAAACACCGAAGGTTCAAATAATGAATTGCTGTCACGAAAAGATTTAAGAAGTTATCTCCCCAAACTACGAAGGGCCAAACCGACGTCTCACGTCCTCATGAGCAACAGATCAATCTGGATCCTCTTTGGTTCATGTTCTTCTTAGTTTCCGCTACCTTTACTCTCTATGAAGATGATGTTACCTCTCCTCTTCACAGCGGCTACTCCCTCTGAAGAAGTCAAGTTTCCACCATGACATGATCCTGTTGTTTGGATTGCCTCGGTGGAAACAGCGGCAGCGGTAGCGATATTCTTCCGTTCCATGACTTCTTCCTTCTACCGGTACCCTTCGACGCATCTTCCACGTTGGGAAGGCCGGCATGACATGATACGAAGCCTCTGCTATGCAATGGATAGTGCTTGGAAGCAGCCTCCGACAACCACCAGTTGTGCCGTACCTTTGCGACGGCCGTTTCCAGTTTGAAATTAAAACGGCAATTCCATCACTGAAATGAAACCGCCGTTGGCTGACTTGCATTGAAATGAAACGCCGTTGCCTCAAGCAAGCTTTTTCTCGCGTTGATCTCATGCTCACAAAAAGAGTTGCCAAAGGTCTTGTGTCTGCGTCCAAAATAGCCAATTGAGGTTTGTGAACAGTTCATGCTGATGGCTCTCTTCCTTCCTTCCTTCCTTCCTACCTTCCTACCTACCTACCTACCTTTCTTTGTCGGGTGAAAGGCCGTGCTCTGGTCCATGGTATAGCCGATTGTGGTTTTGGAACAGTTCATAGCTGAGTAGCATTGGGTTGGCTGGTTCGTCCTACCTTTCTTCCTTCCTTCCTTCCTTTCTTTGTCGGGTGAAAGGCCGTGCTCTGTTCCATGGTATAGCCGATTGTGGTTTTGGAACAGTTCATAGCTGAGTAGCATTGGGTTGGCTGGGTCGTACTCGCTCTTGGACCGTTGGTTATAATAGTCTAGTTGGCTGGCTGGTTCGTCCTCGTGCAAAGGTAAAGTCGGTTCTTCTGTTTGGCACAGCACATCAGTCAGCGCTGGGATGGGCTCTGTCGGGTGAAAGGTCCTTCTTCCTTCGGTTCATCCTCGCTCGTGCTCGGTAATTCTACACTACCGGTACTAACTCCTACAATAGTTGCTCATGTGGTTTGCGGAAGTGGGGAGCTTTCGTTGGGTTTGGGAAAAGGTAATGTTGGTACCGTCTGATGTCTCGTGTGAATAGATCTTGCATTCCAGGTATCGCCTTCTTGTTCTTCTGTTTGCCCATTGTTTGACCATGATATTGGCGTCGTCCTTTTGCCTCTGTGATCATCTGTTCCCCCTGTCGAGCCGTTAAAAACCGCCGTTGCATTGAAATGCCGTTGTCTTCAAGCAAGCTTTTGCTCTCTCAAACACAACTTCTTCCAATTGCATGACGGTGACACCTTTTCAGTGCTGCTTTTGCAGCCGCTCCTTGTGAGCCCGTGGTTCTTTCGGGAGCCCGGTGGGGTTGACTTGTTGGCGGCCATTTACTGAGTCCTGTCCTGCACGTCGACCCACTGGAAAGGGTGTTGTCTTGCGGTGGTTCCTCTGTGGGGATGGTTCGTCCTCGTGCAAGGTAACGGTCAGTTCTTCTGTTTGGTGCATCGTCGTTTGTTCGTGTGTCTTTGTGCTCGGTTCGTACTGTATGCAAACCTTGGCGCCTCAAACCCTTGTCTCTTCCTCGTAGGCCTGTCGGCCGTTGACAATGGTGCCGTTTCGTGTTCCAGTCTCACCATCATCAACAACATACAGGTACGGTCCGCTAGCGAACAGCATGCATGCATGACATTAGTAGTTCTTTGCTCTTCGGAAGTGGCCGGCGGCAGAGCACTTTCAGAAGACTGTCCTCCCACTTCGCTGAGTTATGTGATTCGCCTTGCAGTCCACGTTAACCAGAATGGGCAAGTGGACCCAAACTACCCGGTGGAAGTGATGGGCATGGCAATGGACGTCAATGCCACACATGTGTCATATCTATAATCAAAGTTTCATAAGTACTGCATTAGCTACACGGACATAGTCCGTCCTCGTCGGCTGCTTCCGCGTTGACTGTTCCGTCGGCTGCTTCCTCGTCGACTCATGCTTGGTCTCTCGGATATGTATTGCTCCTCCGCCTCGAATTGCTTACGAGAGAGGTCAATGAAGATCTTTTCCAGATTCATTTGTTCCACTGAATAGAACTTGATCCCCAGAGCTTCCTTTTCGCGTTCGAGAAGACCAAAGATGTCGGCCAGCTGGCTTTGGTGATTGCCATCTTCTTGAAAGGGAAGCTGCAATTTAAAGCGATATGGTAACGATTCGTACACTTTGGCGGGCATTCCCTCCTTCAAAAAAGCCTCCACTACATTGTCTTCGGGCAAATCGCTCCCCGTCACCCCGTCTGCCAGAGGGTCAATGCTGATCTCCACAAAGTAGCTTGTACAGTACTTGCCTTGAAGATATGGCAATGTTCCAACAGTGACGATCTCTCCATCAATCATGATTGCGATGGTATCGCCCAGGGTTTCGCACTCGTCCATGTAGTGGCTCGAGAGCAAGATCGCCGGCAAATCATAGTCTTCGTGAAGGGTTTGTGGCTTCAACACATCCCAAACCAAGTGCCTGGCCCCGGGGTCCATCCCGGTGGTGCCTGAAGGAAGAGCCGAGCCCAGTGAAGTTAGTTTCTGTAAAATACTCAGTAACGAAGAACGCATGGCTTTGAAACCGAATCAGGAAAGTCTACTTACACTCATCGACCATCATCACTTTGGGATAACCAATCATGGCCAATCCCAAAGACAACCGGCGTTTGTATCCACCCGAGAGTGCCGTGGCTTCCTTGTCTTGATGCTTGCCCAGTCCTAATAGATGGACAATGGCCTGGACGTGAGATTGTGTAGACTCCTCTTCCCAATTCAAGCCTCGAATCTGAGCATAGAACTTGAGGTGCTGGAGCACAGTCATGTGGGCTACACAGGAAGGCGAAAAACAACAAACGATCTTTGTTAGAGACATGCGCTGCCACGCAGCAGAGACGGTTCCATCACTAGCTGGGCACTTGAGACTCACGAAACAAGGCATCGAATTGGGGGACATAAGCCACATCGCACTGACTGTAGAGATGTCCAATGTCCTTGGTCTCTCCCGAAGCCACTTGGCCTTCCAACGTAATCTGCCCGTTTTCCGGGGTATGTTCACCAGCCAGGACTCCCATCGTGACAGACTTGCCTGCGCCGTTGGGCCTGTGTACACGTGAAGGAAGAATTGAAGGGTATCAGAGGCGCATGCATAGTACACGAGGGACAAGCATAAAGGAGTTTCCACATTTCTCACCCGAGCAATGCAAAGATCTCATTTTTGCGAATACCAAAACTGACTCCTTTTACCGAGCGTTTTAGAACAGCATTCTTCTTTGTCTTGTCCCCTTCTCCATCAGGGGGCGGTACACGGAAAGCTTTGACCACTTCGCGAGCATTGATACCCGCAAGTTCCATTTGGTGCTCTTGTCGTGTTGCTGCCGCCAGTTCGGGATTCAGTGATGCATCAATCGGCTTGATTGCATTGTCAGGATCAGTTTTTTTCAGTTTAGTGGCCGAGGGACGCGTCGTTGTCAGCTTGTACAAGAAGACCCACTCGATGCTCCCGATGCCCAGCATCATCACAATGGTATACCAGACGCGGCTTTCCCAGCTCCACACTTGCGCCCACGTCAAGTCTGGGTCATCGAATTTGGTCGATACCTCGATGACTGCGCCTAGCCCTCGTTGGAAGGCTACCTGTGGGACTATACAGATAATGTCTCCAATGATCAAGAGCAAGTCTCGAGACTCGGGCAATGCTTGAAGAGCAGACACCCATGCCACATAAGGCAACGAAACAAAGGTCATGTAGACCCCAGGGAACCAATTCGCCACGGCTTTGTAATCCCCATGAATGAAGCGTTTCGCCAAGATCAGACCAATCGGTGTTGTGCTGTAGGCGTAGCTCAGCATGATGATGACTGTTCCCAACCAGCGCCCAGCATTTCCCATTATTGTTGCCCGCAACCCGTATCCCAACGCAATGACCAGGACGAAGAAGGGGGCAAAGCTGGTGCTGCATTTGTAGAAAATTACACCAAGATATGCGCTCCATTCAGTGATCCCTGCAACTCGAAACAGGGAGATGATTCCGTCGCCTTTTAACAACAGCACATCCAATACGGAAAAGGCAACGCCAGTGAAACCAAAGCCCATGCACGTGGGCAAGATCAAGAGATCCAGACGATAGGGAGTCTCCGAAATGTAGGGAAGCTGTTGGAGCGTAGTTGTTATGCCCAAGATTTGTCCACTGACGATAGCAGAGCCCTACATCCGACATCAACTGAGAAGCCATCTGAAGGCAAAAGGGAGTAATCTCAGGTTATACTGAAGCGTGGAAGTTTCCTTCGAGTGGCCACCACAATATATTGGTGGTTCGTAAAAGTACTCCAGCAATCGTTCGGGCTCTTCTGCTGGGGTCATTGGAAAGATGGAT